AAACTAAGGGCCCAATCCTATTTCACCTTTTTGTCTTGCTACTTACACATTCAAATACAGCCACATCAAAGGCATTTTTGCACTTAAGTAGATTTTAGGGGTTTTTTCCCACCTCCACTTGCACTTCTGAGCACACACAGAAATCTCCAGTGTGGCTGTACGTTGTGCGTGGTAATCATAGTCTGCCTGACAATGTCAGTCCTTGAATGTATGAAAAAAGTATGACCAACATCTGTTTGATGCTGGAAGACATGGAATTTGGCTTTCTCAACTTTTACCCCAATGGCCTAGTAGTTAGGGCACTTGCCCAGGGTGGAAGAGGGAAGTTTGAGCCTACCTATCCCACTCCAGTCTGAACAAACGTGATCTGACCATTGCATCACAAACGTGGCATTGCCCACAACATTCTTCTCACAAAGGTTGTGTGCTGTGCAGCCAGGAGGGGAATATGTGAGGACAAGAGGGCAGCAGGGCTAAGGGAGCATAGCTTAGTGAAATGAGCATGGCCCTAGAACGGAGGGGGTCCTGGGTTCCGTCCTCTTCTTGTCTTGCAATGTTTGTTTGGGTTTTCTGTAATAGTCATTAGATAAAATGGATCAACAGCAGCAGGACACCGTTGTGGGCAGGATCAGCCTCCAGAACCCACATTTTGTCTTTGCAGATTCAGTTTCCTGGTGGTACAAACTCTAAAAATGTAACAGCAACAGGAGCACAGCTAATAAGGGCACATGTTTAAAAATGGCCATCTCCAGTGTCTTACTTTGCAGAAGGAACCGGTTTTCATTCATTTGTGATATTTTTACTGAAAGAATTGTTTGCAAACTTGTTTCTATAAAGACTACATATATGTAAAATTTCAAAATTCAGCCATTTAAAAATTATGTCTGTGAAAAGAAAGGTGTATATTTTTTTATCTGCCTAGAACTAAAAATAATTGCTGGGATTTCATGCTTTAAAAAAAATCCTCCAGCTGGAGACAAAGCATGGAAAATGTAAACTCAAAGGGTGGTTTTCCATTTTTTAAAGGTATGAGATGTGAAAACAAAGAATTATCATTGAAAGTATTTTACAAGCTCAGCTATAGATACATAATAAACATGAAACACATATGTCCAAATAAGATATAATAAAAACTAAAGAATTAGAAATGTAGTTTTAAGATAATACTTTAGTGAAATTAACATGGGGAAACACATGCAAATTGTAATTTTCAAAAAGCTGTACTGTAAGATGTAAACACAGCTGAGGATTGCCAAAACATGTATTTTATCTCTTTGTTCTGATGTCTCTTCTTGTTGCAGCAATAGTATCGGTGTATTCTTCTGCGGACCCAAAACTCTCTCCAAGAGCCTTCAAAAAATGTGCAACTCATACTCATCTGTTGATCCAAGGGGTGTTCATTTTCACTACAATAATGAAAGTTTCTAGACTGTTTTTTAAATTCTATAACTGATATTAGTATACAATGTGCTTTGTTTTTCTTTTTCATATTCCCCTTCGTGCTGATTTCAGGCCAGATCTTTAACTGGTATAATTTAAACTATTTGTTCTGACTTAAAGGAAACTATGATAATTAGCATCAGCTAAAGATTTGGAGCTTTATGCTTAGTCTTTCTTTTAGGGACTCTCTATGGCTAAGTACAGACAGTCAAAAAGCCCAAGGTTGAATTGATTCAATCTTCAATGGTTAGTCTGAACTGCATAGATTAAATCAATAAGCAAGTGAATAGACATTCGCTTTTAATTCTGGAAATGCAGCCACATGCCAGAAGCTGGGGGGGTGCTAGAGCATGCCTCCCTGCTCGGCTAGAGCAGACAGCTTGGGACTAGGTTAGCCCACCCACCCTGCAAGGGATGAGGGGATTTATAGGGGAGGTGCAAAGTATCCTGGGATGCTGGGGGACTGTGGGTTAAATTCAATGTGGAGGGGATCTGGGAAAAAAGTTAAATAAACTGATTTAAACTAAAACAGTTAAGTCTGATACTACATCCATCCAGGTTGATCTTAAACTAGTTTCAGCCATTTTGAAAGCAGTTAATGTGTACTGAACTTCTGTTGTGTTACAGACTGGAACCAGTTTTCAATTACTTATACCAGTTTATGTGTCATTTCTGTCCCTAGCACATCTCATCATGCCTTATTGCCAGTGTATAAAATCATAGATTCATAGAACCGGAAGGGACCTGTACAATCATCAAGTCTGGCCCCCTGCCATGGGCAGGAAGTATTGAGTTCAGATGAGCTTCGCAAGGTGCCTGCCCAGCCTCCTTTTGAACACCTCCAAGGAGGGCGACTGCACCACCTCTGCTAGGAGCATGTTCCAGATGCTGGTGACCCTTACAGAAAAGTTTTTCCTTATATCCAAGCTGAATTTACCTTCTGTTAGTTTATGCCCATTGGTCCTTATCCTCCCTTGTGGTGCCCTCCTGAATAGTTGCTCTCTTAGTTCTTGATGCTCCCCCTTGAGGTACTTGTAGGCAGCTATCCAGTCACCTCTCAGCCTTCTCTTCCATAGGCTGAACAGGCCCAGTTCCCAGAGTCTCTCCTCATAGGGCCTACCCTTCATGCCCTTAATCAAACAGGTGGCCCTTTGTACCTTCTCGAGCATATCCATGTCTTTTGTGAAGTGCGGTGCCCAGAACTGGGCACAATACTACAGCTGAGGCCTCACCTACACTGAATAGAGCGGGAGGAGTATGTCCCTGGATCTATTGGCCACACAGTGGCTGATGGATGCCAGAGTTTTATTGGCCCTTTTGACAGCTTCGTCCCACAGTTGGGTCCTATTCATCTTCCAGTCAATTGTGACCCCCAGGTCTTGTTCACATCTTGTGCCAGCCAGTGGACCACTACCCATTGTATAGTTGTGCTGAGGGTTCTTCCCACCCAGGTGAAGGATCTTGCACTTCTACCTGTTAAACCTCATCTGATTTCACTCCACCCATAGATCCAGTCTGACAAGGTACTCCTAGATTTTTGCCCTATTCTCTGGTGTGCCCGCATTTCCCCACAGCTTGGTATCATCTGCGAACTTAATCATTGCACTTTCTACCCCTTCATCTAAATCATTAATGAATATAATTGACTAGCACAGGTCCAAGGACTGATTCCTGAGGGACCCCACTGGAGATTCCATATTTTTGTGGAATAACTTTGTAACATATAGCTTGTTTTATCATTCCATTAACTGGTTGAATGTCTAGCTGGGTCACAACTTAAAGTGTGATTAACTGGTGTAATCATACTTAAGTGTAATATCCAGAGGAACCTTAGAGGTTGTTGCATGTGATTCTCCATTGTCCTGATCTGCTGTGGGACATAATTATTTATACCACAGCAAAGTGAATATAAAACACTTCTAAACCAAAAAGGTAGCACAGCTGATTAGAACAGGACTTTAGAATAGTATCTTTTGGTTGTGCTTGAACAGGCTAAATTGGAAGTTATGAATATTTTCTTAAGACCTGGTGGTTCATGTTCAGTTAGTCAAAAACCTTTCCTTCCAGGTGTCCTAATTTCCTTTCATTGCTTGGTGAAAGCTGGTATAATATTCTCAAGGCTAATATATTAAATATACTTCAGAACTTTTTATTCTCAGTGAATGGATCTCTTGAAGCAGAGGTACATGACAGTGTGGGAGGAAATACAGCCACAGAGGTGGTGTCAGGTATTTTTTAAAAGTCACAATGCCTCTTTGGTGCTAGATAATGGAGGGAACTACTGCAGCCTGGGTTTTAAAGGGCACAGCAATTCAACCTCCAATTCAGCCAGTGCTTTTGTCACCAACTACTGAGGGACAGGGAAGAATGTATTTGTCTTCCACTTTGGTGCTGTTACAGTCAAGCCAAGGCTAATGGAGTTGGAAGTATATGCCAACCACAGGTACAACACAAATATTGCTCTTTAGTACAAGTGCTTTTAATACATATACATTTTTAACAAGCTGTAGTTCATCTTTGTATTTCTTGATTTAAATGTGTCATATAACTGGACCCAGCTTTTCCCATAGACTACAGGCCAAATCCTTTGGATCAGCTGTTTAACTTTTGGCAGATAGCCCTCAAAATTAAGGGTGTATGTAAAGCTGAAAGCCATCATTTTGGCTTTGCTAGTCCCATGCTAGCGGGCACCAGGCCAGTGCCAGGGCACAACTTACCGCAGTTTTAGAGCTACTGTATATGATGCTGGCTGACAAAAGTTTCAAGGGGCAGCAGTCACTGAGCACTGGAGCATAGATCATAGTGTACCTGTGGCAGCGACTCCTAGCATAATAAGGTGAGTTATCTAAGTCCGCCTATCCTCCCTGGTGATTCGTTCATTGTTGCGGAGAATGCCCTAATTGAAGAATTCAGCCAACCATAGAGCATCCTTACCTGGCACCAGCATGTTGTCCCTTTTCTTTCTTTCTTTCTATATCCACTGCTTCCCTTCCTTTCATGTAGCACCATCCTCCTTGCATTTTCATTATTAGTGGTGCAACACCTTTTTTCTTTCCAGCTTCTCCTTGCTAGAACAGTCCTCTTTTTCAATGCTTCAACTCCACCCATTTTCAAATCCCATCTGAATGCGTCCTTTTTTGTTCCTTTCTTGGACTACTTCATTTTTCTCACGCTTCCTCGGGTATTATTTGTATTTAGTTTTTGTGGCTGTAACAATTTATCAAGCATTTGGGGGACAGACTATCTTTATCATTCAGGAGGAGTTTTTTTTAAGTCTGAAATTAAAAACCCCACAGCATTTACAAAAGCTAGTAGGAGGGAGCAAAACAAGGGAGGGAGCTGGTCATATTAAAGCAAAGCAAAACAAAAGTAGCAACCCCCACCTCTCAGACAAAAGCAAAATTGTACTGGATGTGTCCTGAGGTGCAAAACACAGTTCAGACAGACCATATAATACATTTAGCCAACTATACAATACAACTATGAAGTAGAAAACACCCTGTGTATCAACTGTTGAATAAGATTAATTACAACATTATATATGTACACACCCATGGGAAAAGTCACTAGGGGGGACAAAACAATACAGAGAAAAACAAACATCTAAGGATTTTATAAATATTCTGTTTGGGGACAGAGTTTGTATGAACTAAGCCTGCTTTACAAGATACAGTTGTATTATTATTGAGTTTAAGATGATGCATCTTTGTTTTAAAATTACTCAAGTTTTTTTAAATGTCTGCCTATGTGAAATGATTAATGTGATGCATACAATGTAGTAGTAGACTGAGTGGAGAATTAGAGTCTCTGCCATTTCACCTAGAGGCATTTATCGTTTATTTTTTTCCCTGGTGACTGTGCTGAGCCTCAGGGTAAGCTGACACAATTTTTTTTAAATATAAATTAAGCTTCTTTTTTTGTGTATGTTGAAAAATCATGAAGGAAATGAAGAATGTGTGTAGGCACCAGTACCAGCTGCCATTGCTTGAAAGAGAAAGGTGACAATTTCCTGCAGATTCTGAATGATTGTTTTAATGGGGTTGGATCGGAGGTAACAAGCACAAAGATATTGCAGTGCCAGAAAAGCAGGATCTGTTCTCCCCTAGCTTCATGCAACAAGATGTAACATTTAGCTTCTGGCTCAACATGGCATCTCTCCACTGCTTTGATTTATTCCCACTTTTGCAAATCACTGTGGTATGCTACAGGAGATGCATTTAGAGCCCTTATTATAGTTCATTGAGTAGCATTGCTGTTATCACCACCAGAGGAGAATTTCACTTGTATCAGGGCTGAGTGACCTAGAATAAAAGGAAAATAATAATAAAAATAAAATGTGGAGGTTTGTTAGACTAGGATGAAGCTGCATTTAGGTTGAATGAAAATCCCTTTATTACAAATATAATTTAAATCAAAATGGAAAATAAGAAGATTTGGCTTTCTGCCTTGTTTTGAGTAGCACTGAGCATGCAGCAGCTATGATAATATGAGTGCATATGTAATGACTCTATTATTGCATTTATATATAGAAACATCATTTGCTGTCAGGGAAAATGAAAGATATCTTCATGGACTTGTCCATTCAGCTTCTTCAGCAGCTTTTCAAGAAGAAACAATTGGGATTGTAGCAAAAAAATGTTAGTAAATAAAAGATAGTCAAAAGAGTACAGCCTCATCGCGTACTGAGCAAATGTGGCAGAGAACTAATCACAGTCCAGTAGCCTGAATCTACAGATTAATTATAATAAAATAACTTTGCCATCCAGAACACTGTGAGAATGTAAATTGTTTACTTCTGATCACTAACAAGTATAGTTTAGGATACATCATTTGATATGCTTTTGGATTATTCTTCCATGCGAAGGGAACAATGTACTGTATAACTAAAACTGCCCTATTTTACATCAAACAATGAAATGGGGACTGAAATATTTACCATTCTCCATCATATATACAATATAGAATCATGAAAACTACCCTGCTTCCTCCTTTATGGAGTACTCTACTTGGGTAATACCAAATACTGGAAACTAGAAAAAAGTATGATGATTTTGAAAGGGTTGGCTAGGGCAGATGCAAGGAGAAGTTATAGAAGCTGATCCATAGAGCTCCCCTGGATAGGAGATAGTTTAAATCATGGTTGACAACCTACATCCCACAGAATCTTTGAATCCCACCCACGCATGGGGCTTCAATGGCATTTGGTTGTGGGAGGCAGGGCACCTTCTGCAAGCACTGCTGTATCTTGCCAAAAATCAGATGCAAATATGAAAAGCATATAAAGTGAAGAGAGAGGTGAAACAGCAATGCTGTAGGACAGGGGAGTCAAAATGCCTTGGTAATAGGAAATTGGGACATGGATGGTCTTGCCTAGTGGTCAAACCAAAAATAGGTGCAGTCCAGATTGGCTCCCCAGGGAGCGGAGGATACGGAGGGTCTGGTGTCAGAACTGGAATCAGGAGCTATAGCTAAAGTCAAAACAGGCTGAGGTTAGAAGCTGGAGCTGGAGAAGGGTAAGCCAAGGGCTAACCAGAATCAGAAGCCAAAGGCTAGAGCTCAAGGTTGAACCAGAATCCGGGAATGTCAAGGGTCTTATCAGAATCAGAAGCCCGAGTTGGAGTCAGACCCAGGAGTCAGGACCAGAAAACCAGCAGTTAAGGACAGGGAAGCACAAACTTTCTCCTTTGCATGGACAAGGATAGTGCAAGCTGGGCCTGGCTTTTAGGGGCTGAAGCAGCTAGGACTTTTGCCTGTGGCTTCAAGGGATTGGCTGCCCTGATTGTCTCACTCAGCCCAGCCAGAACCAGGGCACAGCTCTGGGTTTGCTGCTGGTAGTAGCTGCCCAGGGGATGACTTGCTGATTCTCTCCTGATTGGGACCTACTGGGTCCAGGGTTCTGATCTGGCCTCATTACACTTGGCCTCTGAACAGGATCCTGACACATTGAATCCAGACCCACTTCCAGCAAATGAAGTGAATGGTGACAGCATTACCCACTGCAGCTTTCTGAGCAATGGGGATTTATGCACCCATCACTCACCCCTCTTCCACCAACATGGGTCCCCAGAGGAGCTCTGTACACCAGAATTCAGCAGTGGCCAAATGTGATGGCCTGCTCAGCAGCTCCACAGGTTGGATGATACAGTAGGCCATTGCATTCTCACATACAGCAGGTGTATGGGGTCCATCAATTTTTATTTTCTCCTTAGAACAGGGGTGGGTAACATACAGCCCGCGGGCCGGATCTGGCTCACCAAGCACTTTCATCCAGCCCACAGGGCTCTCCAACAAATTGTGCCTCGCCCAGACCTTCTGCCCATGATGGTGGGAGTGAGGCGCCCATGTGTACATGCAGCCCCAAAAATATACCCTATTGCCTGGCTCTCATCCTCATTGGTGGAAGGGCCTGGCCAGCCAGCGTGCACCTTCTGTGCGGGGCTGCTGCTGCCACAGCCCCCGGGACCTGCTCGCTTCCCTGGTCTTCTGCTGGCTCCGGGCAGCAAGTCAGAAAGCAGAGGGGGTGGGGCTGCAGCTGGGAGGGAGCCCAGAGTGTGGGGCTGGGGCTGGTGGCAGTGCAAAGCCCACACCCAGGGGGCCAGGGGGCAAGGGCAGCGTGGAGCTGGGGTGGGTAGCGTGTGGGTGTGAGGGAGGGTAGAGAGTGTGGGGACCCCTCACACACCTCCATGGTGCACAGT